AAAATGTAAAATATAATATCAAGAATTTTTTCACAAAAATAGCATATTTTTGCATACGGTAGTCATTTTCACCATGAAGACAAGTCCAGAGGTCAAATTTTTTTTTTTCAAATTAAAGTATATTACATAGGCTTTAATTTAAAATATATATAAAAGTGTCAGTCTTTCCGGAACATTTTCAAAAGTTAAGTTGAAAAAGTTAATTTTTTGTGAAAAAGTTGTCATTTTAAATCCCCCCCTGTGGGCAGGTTAAGTGTCAGATTTACAAAAAAAATATACCAAATGATAGGTAAAGACATCAAGCATCTATATAAAAAAAAATTATATTGATATGTTCATTTTTGAAAAAGTTACGGCAGTTTTTAGTAAAAAAAATTGAAAAAATTTCGAAAATTAGCGATTTTTAAATTTGTAATTTTTTTGGAGGTTTCCCCCATTTACGGGGAACGAGGGAAATTTTTTCAATTTTGAAGGGTAATGTCTTCGACTAGATACGATTTGTGATCTTTTGACGTATCGTTGAAAGAAATCGGTTCGTTGAGAGCTGAGAAAAAGTGGTAACAGACACAAAAAAAACACATCATAGTAAAACCAATACCTTCTCAGCTTCGCATCGAAGCTAAAATGTAAAATATAATATCAAGAATTTTTTCAAAAAAATAGCATATTTTTTAAAATTAAACACTATCTAAAGATTTGCATCGAGGCGTTTTTTTTATAGTGATTTTAATCACTGTCAGATATCATTATACTTGATCCAACTATTCTACGTCACCACTGTGCCGCGAACCTCCTGTGCTATGTTTTTATAATTGTATATTAACAGTTATAAAGAAAGGTTTACAAGTGATTTACTGAATATGCTTAATATTGCAACCACAATCAAGATGTATGGTTTTTGAGAAAAGTTTACATAGATATTAATGCTGATCAAAAGTTTTTAGATTTTTCAAAACATTGAAAACCACATTATAAGCGAAGCACATGTATATCTAATTTCAATCATTACATTTTATAATTTTATATGCATATAACTATTCTTGTGTTTTGGTAAAGAAACTTTTTTCAAATGTTATTCGAGTGTCGTGTCTAATTAGTGTCATTAATTTATGAGTTGGGCTGGGTATTAATTTTCATATTAATAACTTGACGGCTGATATTCAGCGCCCGCTGACAACAGACCGCAGTATTTTGACACGATATAAAATATCTATAATGAAATATTAGGTAGCCATTTGTGAAATTTACCAAATTCTAAAAACCTTAACAATTTTAAACTTAAAGGGCTAAGCCTCCCTATGACGTCAACTATTTACTCTAATGCTGTTGTTTAATTGTCTAATTATAGGCATTTTTTAATTTTAACAAGACTATTTTGTTTAGATCAAATACAATATGTTCAAACATTTATGATAGCTTAATTATCTTTTCTAAATTAATATAATAATTATAATTATAACTACAAAATTATTTAAGGCTAATTTATTTTAATTATTACCTAAAATTATAGTATTATATATTTCAAACGTATATCTTACTCTTTAATAATGATGCTTGACAATTAGGACATTTAGGATCATCGTCAGTATATTCCCATCTATCAATGCATTTTTTATGAAATTTGCAACCACAGTCAAGAGTTATACATTTTGAGGAAATATTGGATTGACATATAGTACAAACTTGAAAAAAAAATTATATTAACGCTGATATACAACATTAATAGTGATTATTATTTGTCAAAACGTTGTATATACGTCATAAGCAAAGCACAATATGTATATCTAATTTCAATCATTACATTTTATAATGTTATATGCATATTACTATTATTGTATTGTGGTAAAGAAACTTTTTTTAAATGTTATTGCCTGCTTAGTGTCATTAATTTATGGGTAAAACATGTACATCCAGTTTTAAATACTACATTCTACGAGTATATAATTGACGCTCAAATTATATAATTTTTTTTGTCTAGATTTATTTTATTATATCAAAAAAATTGATCACTTGTGGCTCATTAATTAAATTAAAACTAAATTAAAAATATTATTAATTTAAAAACTATAAAATATTAAAAATATTAATAAACTCAAAAGCCACAAAAAATAGTTATTAAATTAATAATATTTTTAATATAGTTTTAATTTTATTTAATTAGTTTATTATTCCTGTACTATAATTACAGGAATTCCACTTTTAACATTTTTGTAGAAGTTAAATATACATTATGTCATGAGGAAATGTCTACATAACTACTATTAAAATTTATTCAAATGTAGAGCACAAAAAAATCAAAGAAAATTTTTATTCTATTTTCATTTACAGTGTTGCTTTAATATGTATTTCAAAAATAGTGAAATCGAAAACCAAAATGCTCTGTCTCCAAAAATAGGAATTTTTACTCCTCTGCAAAATTTATTAATATCAAAAATAAACATCATCACGGAATTGCTACAAAATTATCATACATATTGAGAGATTACTCAATTTATTGGAAAACAAATTTTATTTTCATAAATTCCATCAAATTATATTAATATTTCTCTGAGAGTCTCGTGATGAGGTTTCTTTATTGGTTTGATAACAATGTAACAAAGAAAAGAAACACGAATAATTTGTTTTATCAATTTCACAAGCATATTTTGTATATTTTAAAAACTTCTCTATTAATTGTTCAACTATTCTCAACTCAACCTCCCCAAATGTAATTTCACTAGTTATTTCTATTATTCGTGCTGGTTTTAAAATTTAACTATATTTATTGAATAACAATGTTTGTGATCTTTTTTATTATTAAATTTTATTATGTATATAGTCTTGACTATTAATAACGAATTGTACTTTTTTTAGCTTCGATGCGAAGCTGAGAAGGTTTTAATTTTACTATGATGTGTTTTTTTTTTTTGTCTGTTACCACTTTTTCTCAGCTCTCACCGAACCGATTTCTTTCAATGATACGTCAAAAGATCACAAATCGTATCTAGTCGAAGACATTACCCTCAAAAATTAAACACTATCTACAAATTTGCATCGAAGCCTTTCTTATGACAGTGATTTTAATCACTGTCAAATATCATTACACTTGATACAACTATGCCACTTCACCACTGTGCCACGACCTCCATGTACTGGGTTTTTTTAAACTTAATTTTTAATTCTTATCACTAATAGTTAAGCTATATTATTACTTTGTATTGAAATCTATATAATATATATATTAGGGTGGCTCAAAAAAAATCGATCTTCGAAATGTTTATGAGATACCTCATAAATGTATTATATACATTAAAATAAACATTTTATGAAAATTTGAGATTAAAAAAAAAATTTTTACAGGTCGCTCAACGCGTTTTAAGAAAATTGACCAAAAATACTCAAAAAAACATAAAATGTCATTATTTATTCAATTTTTGTTCAAATTTCTTACTTAGTACATCTAAATTGTTCGTTTTTTAATGCCGAATAATAATAATTAGAAAAAAAAATTGTAAGTCCTAAATTGATTGCGTAAAGTTCATAAAAAGCTCAAAAATATGGTTAAGTTCAACGAACTGTTAAGTAAACCAAAAAATTTTTTTTTTTCATTTTTTTTTTTTAATTTGATTAATATTTGTGTGTATTTTAAGAGGAAAAAATTTTTTCCACTAATGTTTAAAACTACTACCTTTTTTTTTAGATTAGAACGTACGCTAGAATATACGATGTACATAAAAATAAATGAAAATATCGTCAAATTTTACTGTTTCCTTTTTACATTTTTTTATTTTAAAATTTGGCATTAGCTATATATACATACATATATATTTATAATTATAAAAATAAAAATAATTTTTTTTTTTTTGTCACCAATGTTGATTTTTTACAATCGGGGTACTCATTCTAGACAGAATAAACGTATCTAGCCGAAAAGCCACGTATATTTTGGCGTCTGCTTTAACTTAGTGTGATAAAAATATTAATGATTATTCGATAAGTAAAGATTGAATTCAAAGAGCTCGTAATTTTAATAGAAAAATTATAAATAATGAAATAATAAAATAATTCAAACCAAACACCGCTTTAATGGTTCACAGGGACGGAAAAATGTTGCCGTCTTACAACAAAAAAAATTACACTGAACGTTTAGCGGTATTAGTATCTGGTGATGGCAAAACTAAACTTTTGGGAGTGCCTAAACTTTTAAATTCTACAGGCAAATCGCAAGCTGATGCCGTTATTAAGCTTTTGGTTGATTGGAATTTAGTTAATCAAACAAATATGATATATTTTGACACTACTGCCTCCAACACTGGAAAACTAAATAGTGCATGTATTTTAATCGAAAAAAATTAGGTAAGGAATTATTGAGTTTAAATCGTCCTGAGGATGATTTAAATTTAATTTATGTTCACAAATTTAGAAATTATGTCTATATTTGGTGCTAATATCTTTAACACAACATCATCTGTCAACATATTACAGTATAGTTTTTTGTCTATATTTTCCCAGCTATTAGAAAATCTTTAGAATAGAGCTATGTCTGGGCCAGATGATGGAGGCATTAATTTATCAAAAACTCTCCTAATTATTATTTCATGTATATGGTGCCTACAAGCAAAACTCAATAATTCCTTACCTAATTTTTTTTCAATTAAAATACATGCACTATTTAGTTTTCCAGTGTTGGAGGCAGTAGTGTCAAAATATATCATATTTGTTTGATTAACTAAATTAGTTTAGTTTTGCCATCACCAGATACTAATACCGCTAAACGTTCAGTGTAATTTTTTTTGTTGTAAGACGGCAACATTTTTCCGTCCCTGTGAACCATTAAAGCGGTGTTTGGTTTGAATTATTTTATTATTTCATTATTTATAATTTTTCTATTAAAATTACGAGCTCTTTGAATTCAATCTTTACTTATCGAATAATCATTAATATTTTTATCACACTAAGTTAAAGCAGACGCCAAAATATACGTGGCTTTTCGGCTAGATACGTTTATTCTGTCTAGAATGAGTACCCCGATTGTAAAAAATCAACATTGGTGACAAAAAAAAAAAAATTATTTTTATTTTTATAATTATAAATATATATGTATGTATATATAGCTAATGCCAAATTTTAAAATAAAAAAATGTAAAAAGGAAACAGTAAAATTTGACGATATTTTCATTTATTTTTATGTACATCGTATATTCTAGCGTACGTTCTAATCTAAAAAAAAAGGTAGTAGTTTTAAACATTAGTGGAAAAAATTTTTTCCTCTTAAAATACACACAAATATTAATCAAATTAAAAAAAAAAAATGAAAAAAAAAAATTTTTTGGTTTACTTAACAGTTCGTTGAACTTAACCATATTTTTGAGCTTTTTATGAACTTTACGCAATCAATTTAGGACTTACAATTTTTTTTTCTAATTATTATTATTCGGCATTAAAAAACGAACAATTTAGATGTACTAAGTAAGAAATTTGAACAAAAATTGAATAAATAATGACATTTTATGTTTTTTTGAGTATTTTTGGTCAATTTTCTTAAAACGCGTTGAGCGACCTGTAAAAATTTTTTTTTTAATCTCAAATTTTCATAAAATGATTATTTTAATGTATATAATATATTTATGAGGTATCTCATAAACATTTTGAAGATCGATTTTTTATCGATATTAAAAATATCAACATTTTCATAAAAATATTTTATAATAAACAATTTTTTTTTTCAACGAGTACATTGTGAACTGCCTCGGAACTGCTGTGAGGCATTTTACTTTAAGGGGTAATTTCTAAAACTCACAGTGCTGCGTTGTGATTCAGTCCGAAATTAATCAAGAGCTATAACACAACTAAAAATGCCTCGCCCGTTAGCCGGATCGATTTTCATGTTCCGTTTCCGTTTCCTGGTTATACCACGTAAAGGTAGAGACAGGACTTAAGAAATAAGTCAAATTATTGGCCTTCTAACCCTAACAAAAATTTATGTGATGAAAGGTATTTCCTCTAATAAAGTAAAAGTCGAAGGGAATAATTCGTCTTCGAATCATTTATCTGTATTTCTCACACTAAGCTTTAACGTTAATATGAAACAACAAAAAGAATATTTAACGACTAAGAAAACTAACTGGAATTTATTCAGAACGTCACTTAAAAAATCTTTCTCGTTCTCCAAAAAATTTAAAAAATCAAGCGACATTGACTTGATAGTTCATAATTTCACTAATAATATTATAAAGTTTAAAATTGCAGTAGAATAAACACGAGAGATCATTTATTCAATAGAACTAAGAGAATTGATATAAAAAAGAGAAAACCAAGGAAAACATGGATAACATGGATAACACAACCCACTGGCAAAAGAAAAGGAACCACATTAGTAGGATGTAATATTCTTTGATATTACTTAATTAAATCCATACATCTCACCTACGCTTAGCAATAATACACTGACGCCGCGATTCTTTTTGCGACCATACTTAAGTACTTAGCTTTACTCTTCCTTTTATTTTGCAGTTTTAATTTATTTTCTCATACTCCTATTGTAACTTGGTGTCTTTTTCCTTATTATAAGTCTATAGTCTAACTTAAGTTGCATTCATGTTAAAGTAATTATTTAATAATTCATAATATACACTTATGTAATAATCTATTTTTCTTATTTAACATCTAATAAACCTGCACTTCTCTTTTCTCCTCTCTACACCGAGGACCGTACTTTGCTGCCAAGGTATATCAAGTAAGAGTAGTTTTAACACACTAGTTAACTACACTAATCAAGTAATAACTAGAAACAAAGTACTTTTATTTATTATGTCTTTACGGATAATGCCATTATCATTCTTCTTTATTAATACCATCCCCACCAACTTTACTTTTAGTTATTACAATGATATTCCACAACAAGATAAAATATATGAAAAACGAAACTTTTTAAAATTACTCGAGTAATATTTTTGTAAACGAAGACATTGACTACTCTCTTTGAAAAGTCACTAATTGATTAAAATGGTCGTTAGTAAACGTACCACCATTTCGTAATGAAGATGACACGAGGCATACAGTGAGTATAAAAAAACAGAATTATAGGAACACTCGAAAATGTATTTTAACCTAACGATATAGTTTCAGAACTTGACGGGCATCGCGGTTTACAATCAGATAAAAACTAGAAGAAGATAAGATTTTTTTCATCGTTAGAAGTAGTGCAAGAAGTGTATAACAATATCAATACAAAAATAACATGGGACTATGATGAAATCAGATTGAAAATGATAAAAGAATTAACTAGGAAGGCCGTTGTCCGTCTTACACACATCGTTAATGCTATTTTGTAATCTAAAAACGTTCCGGAACTTTGGAAAAAATTTCAAGTCATTATGTGGTCAAAACCAGGGGAACTATCTAAACAGGTAATATAACACCGACTAATTTCACTTTTACCTTGTTTGTCTAAGTTTTTTGAAAAAGTTCTTCTTAATAATGCTACTGATAGTAGAAAAATAGCTTTTACCAGCTTTAAGTCAAATTGGTGATAACAATTTGACATCTGCTATTAGCACTCTACAAATGACCAGGTTCATTGAAACGCCAATATGATTAATCAGGGCATTTTTATAATTCACAAAAACACACAAAATACACTTATGTTACTGGTACTTTGAGCCGGACGGTGCGGCTACCTCTGTCGCAAGAGCCGATTCTTTTTGGCTAATATCTGACTCGTCAAACGCCTGGATGAGTCACCACATCTCCCGGTTCTCTACTATCGAGTTCTCCATGGGCTCGACGTTTAACGAAAATCCAAGACGGGATTCCTAAACATTACTCTACTGGGCCCACTCCTCGCTACAGAATAGAGTGTGCAGTGAGTTGTCTGTCGTTATTGTCGTCCATGTGGCCGCACTTTGACGTGACTGCTTTACAAATACAGTGCAGATATTTGTTAAAGCAACCGTGGTCATACATCACTTATGCAATTATTTTATGGTAAACACAGTAATTTAAAAACCTTAAATTTCTACTAAAATAAAATTAAACTTATACTTCCATGGTTTAGATTTACTACCTATATTATTTGAAATAAAATAATAAAAACGTATGTAAAAAATATACTAGCATTATTAAAAACGTTTAAGGAAATTGGTGAGGATTATAGAAACGACAATACTCAAAACTTAGGTTTTAAGAAAGATATAAAACTAATTTATATTTTACAAATAAAATAATAAAAAAAATTAGATTTGTATTCAAATAGGTTAAATTAGTTTGTAAGAATAAATTAATCAGTTTGTATTTAGCCTTGTATTATACATGAATGTAAATAATTTATTAAGAAAATTTCAAGAAGGTTTTTGATTCATTTTTTTAAATTGGTAAACCATTTTATTATATTAATTTGCATAATTTTTGTTTTTGTCAAAGAATCAGGTCATTTTTTTTATTTTAGTGTGCTAAAATGCAATTGATATTGAAGTCGTGGCCATAACTAGCAAAATTCTGTAGCACCTTACTTCTAGTTCATAAAAATTTATATAATTCATTTTTTCCATTTTTTATAAGGTTTTTTTAATCAGTAGTTGTCTACAATCAAAAATAATTAATAATTTTTTTTATATACAATTTATCACGTCTTTGTAGTTATTTTAATAATTGAAAATATAACAATGATGCGAAACAAAAAAAAATGTTAATATAATGTTTATTATTAAAAAAATATTCTGTTTACAACTAGTAAGTAATATTAGTCGAATGTGAGGTTTGTGAGCATAACATAATTTATTAAAAATAAATCAAACTTTATTTAGTACATTTTCATAAACATTTCATTCTTTAATGAAAATACTCCAGGAAGTTTTCTTAATAAATATAAAATTAAACAATATAAAGTCACACTACATAAAATTGAACTGCTTCAAAATTAAGATTAAAATAATTTAAACTATTTTTAATAGCATAATTTTTTAGTTCATCATGTGGAATTTAATATATTGAAATTCATTATTTCAAATAGTACAATTGCACTTTAATAATTATAACGCTAAAAATCAGTTTTTATACTTTATAATGCAATAAAATAACTATATAAAACTCACAGAAGCATGAAATAGTCAACACTGAAACAAAATAATCCAGTTTATAAAAAAAATATTGGTTATTTTATATATATACAGAGTGAGTCACGAAAATATGACGAATTCAATAACTTATGATCCAATTATTATTTTTCGTTAATTTCTTTATTTTATATTTCTTTAATTTATAGACTACTGAATAATGAATGGTGTATGTATTATAACAAATACAAAATATTTTCACGATATTCCANTAATGAATGGTGTATGTATTATAACAAATACAAAATATTTTCACACTAAATATTAGTTATAAATATGTATAGTTTTTCATGAAAAATATCTACACTTCTATTAAATACTGCAACTTAATTTAAAAATTTGATAAATAGAAAATAACAGATCAGGAATTCATTTTTTTTTTATATGGTAAAAAAAGTATCTTTATTGAAAATATAATATTTCTCAAGCTATAATGTCATGAAATTGATTTATAGTTTTAAATATAAATCTATTTACTATAATATTACTTATTGGGTGATTGATTATGTTTGATTTTAATGACTGTGGATTAATGAGTACATATGATTTAGTAAAACTTTTAATGCAACAACAATATCAATTAACTTTTTTTTATTGAGGATATTCATTGTAATATTAGTTTAAATTTATCTGGAGAAAATATATTTTTTTAATTTATTAAAAAAATATTGAATATTATATTATTTGTGTAGTCCTAAAAATGATTTAAAAAAGAAATAAACGTAAAATAATAATTGGATCAAAAGTTATTGAATTTGACATATTTTCGTGACTCACTCTGTATATACTGGATTGAAAAATGAAAAATTATGAAAATGTTTGTTTGAACAAAAACATCGGACATTCATTATTTGCAGTAACAGCAATTTTCTTTATAAAGGGAAGTTGCATTTCTGTATAATTCTTGCTACAATTGAGGAATGCTACAGACTTGGAAAATTCAATTATTTATAGAAGTATAATGACTTGAATGTTTTTTTAAAGAAGCGGACCATACATTTATTTTAATATTATTGGTTATAATTATATATGAATATTACCTTCTGATAGAACAAAGTTCAACGTTAAAAACAAGATTAAATACTAAAATTCAAAACTAAAATTACTAAAACTAAAATTCAGATTTTAAAATTAACTGAATCAAAAGTTACTTACCATTTTTTTTACTTTAAATTTCTTCAATTTTCAAAACGATTTGTAAAAAAAAAAAAATTTACGCGTATTACTGATGCAGATTAGTAAACTACATAAATGAACTATTTGCTAACGTTGTTTTTAAATAATTATCGTGTACAAAATTTACCAACAGATGTTTTTTTATTTAATTTAATTATATTTCTTATATTTATTTTACTTAAACATACTGCAATTTGTTGAATGAAAATTATACACTGCTTTATTAACCTTTTAGCAGACTAGTGCCTATTTTTAACACGCTTATATTAGTTTCACCTGTATGTATGTATGTATGTATGTATGTATGTATGTATGTATGTATGTATGTATGTATGTATGTATGTATGTATGTTTGTAACTCTCCAAAAGCCAGCGTTATCGCATATTCCGTCGTCTAGACTAGACTGTCATAACGCATTCACCCCACCCCACGCCGGTAATAGTATTCCTGTATAAATTTATTTTTGGTTATCGTACCCGTAAACACGTGCGTGTCATCAATATTATATATATATATATATAAATAAATTTTTATTTTGACTGACCATTATCATCCGCGTGCATACGGCTTACGTATACAGAGTGTTCAGTAAGTCAGGAAACAGGTATCTATTGTTCTCATTGTTTNCCGATTACAAAGGATGAATCCAGTATCGTCATTTTTCGTCACTACCTCCACGTTCCGGGAGTGAGTAATTTATGCGCCTGCTGCTTTCCTTGGATGTGGCAGCCATTTCTCAGACACCCTCCCCGGAATCGAACTCTGATTTCTCGTTACCCGTTACAACCATGATATTGATATTGAGTAACTACTATCATAACATGAAACTAAAAAGTGAAAAATAAATATAGTTTAAAAAAACTAAAAAAACACGCTTTTAAAGCACATCGAACTAAAAATTTAAAATAATTTAAAAAATAAGTTTAAAATAATTATGAAAGAAAAATACTAGTATTATTGTGATAAAAGCGTGGGTGCTTTGTGCCATATTTTTTGTATATTGAGCGCCCGACGCTTTTATCACAATAATACTAGTATTTTTCATTCATAATTATTTTAAACTTATTTTTACAATTATTTTTAACTTTTTAGTTCGATGTGCTTTAAAAGCGTGTTTTTTTAGTTTTTTTTAACTATATTTATTTTAACATTCATAGTCGCGTAGAAGTCTATCAGACTCCATTTCTAAAAAAAGTATAAAATATGTATAAAAAATTAAATTTTTTTAAATTCAAAGACATTATTTGTTACCATATGATATATAAATATGGATAAAAATTCAAAAATTATAATTAAAAAATAAATAAATTACAAAATTATGTCCATTACTAAAAATTAAATTACAAAAAAAAAAATTAATTTTCAAAATTTCATTAAAAAATTTTGGTTTGTAAAAAAATTATTTTAACTGCATAATCTCATTTTTAAAACGGCAAACAAAAGCTGTTACTATTACACAATGTATTTTAATTAATTTTTCTTGTATTTCTTTGAGCTCAAACACGGCTTATATTTATTAGTTTTATGTGTATTTACATTTATATAATCATATTTCTGAATTGAATTTTTTTATTATTAATATTACAATACATTTAATTATTATGATACGAGTATATACAGTGGCGTATTTTGAATGATTTCTCGGGTGGTGTCCAACTTTTAATGAACCTCACAAACGAAAATTATAGAAATGTTTACTGACGTAAAAAAAACTTTCTATTTTTCTAATTACTATTTTAGGAATTGACAAATAATTTGAAGTTTTGGTACTGTTGTATCTTAAAAGAAACAACCCTAGTGTCTTAACTTAAAGTAATAAAAGTTTAATAATAGCTCAAATGTATTTATTATAGATATAATTAAACAATGCAAAACATACAAAATAAACATACACTAAAAACACAATAAAACAATACACAAAATGAAAACTAATGTCATAAACATACCGCGCGAAAAGAGATTACCTTCGGTGCTCCTGAGGTCCTCTCTCCTCTACAATTCATTCCATTTCGTCTTATTTACTAAAATATTTTGTTTTTCTTCTTTTTGAAAAATTAATAATACTATCGTTTTCAAAAATGTTTATAAATATTTAATTCCTGGTCTAGTAATAATAGATCAGGAAATTACAATTAAACGAAACATTACAAAAATGTTTTACTTCCAGCTTTACAAATGATAAACTATATTACAGTATACAGACTGATTTTTTTATCATAACCCACTCATTTACTTGTAGAATAAATATAATTTAAACATTATTTTTTGTTTTCTTTAGTTACACATTATTCTTAAATTATTAACTATTTAAAACTTTTTATTTTCATCCCTTATGCCTTGTAAGGGTGTCAACTTTGTCTTTTTGTCTTTTAAATGGGAACACATATTTTGAATATAATAAAATGTTTGGATTTTTAATTAAATAGTAAATGGCATTTGAATTTTTAATATAACTTTATTAGTTTATTAGATATAAACATTTAAAGTTTCAAATTTTTGAGTTAATATACATGTATAATACACATGATGATATGATTACAAATACAGGTAGCTAAATGGTTTATATGATATCAATGTCGCAGTCACGGATTGTTTATTATCAATTATGACTATCATAGATATACTTTCTGTATTGTCAGTTAGTGTATTTATAAACTCACAACAATGTGCCTTACTACCATTGATAATAACAATGCTGTGTACCTGCTAATTTCTTTGAAGTTGTTTTAAACAAAGTAACTCATAACTAAATACTTTATTTATAATAAGTAAACAAATAATAAANGTAAGTAAATAAATAATAAAATCTCCTTTCAGTACTAATGTTCGTAAATTACTTGCTTTTGATGATGTTTCAGTGTCATTCCACTTCGAAATTATAAATAACGATTCAATTAGGTACACAAAAGACTCAAGAAAATTATTGACAGCATAAAAACGTTCAACTCATTTAGTCGCACATAATTGATTTAATGATTTTTTAGTTATACATTTTTGACTTTTTTCGATTTGACTATTCAACACATCTTTTCGCTTTGGGTATATGAAAAAATCTCTAACTTTAGATTTTGTTCCTAATCAATTTCATGTTTTTTGTATAGAAGATGAATAAGAAATAGCAAGGTTTAAAACATGAACAGCACAATGAACAAACGTCGCAAGAGGATAACTTTGGTGAATAAGAGATTGAGCTCCGTTAAATTGACCAGACATAGAAGCACATCCATCGTAACACTGTCCTCTAAGGTATTTTGTTTCTACACCAAATGAATGTAAACTTTGAATAATAATATATAAACCTTTTCCAGTAGTATCTGTTGTAGGCACAAACTGAAGAATTCTTCCTTGATAATCATATTTTCAACATCTAAATATCGAACACACAAAGTTACTTGTTCGCTTCCACCAATGTCGGCCGTTTCATCAGCAAGTATTTTGAAACATCTTTGGGCATTTATGTTTGTTACGATTTTATTTAAAATAATTTTATTACAGGATTCAATTATTTCATTTTGAAGTGTTTCACTTGTATATTTTATTGTTTCTTCAGCTTCCAAAAATGATTTTAAACGGTCATCTCCTTGGGCTCTGTATCTTAATATTTCTCTAAAATTTCCTTGATTTTCTTGGATAATTTGTCATTTTATTGATATATATTGAAGTTACAAAGATATCCGTTATTGTCAAAAAAAAAAATAATAATAATAATAACATTAAAAATGCAAATAATAATTAAACCTATAAGGTAGTTAAACCCTAAAGTTATTTTCGATTTGTTAAAGTCGTTAAAATTAATTCAAATCTCCTGTTATTTTCTTTTATCAGAATTATTATGTTATTAATTCAATTATTAATTAAATTGTTAAACTATATTATATATTCAACTTAATAAATTTTTATGTTGATTATAATCTCATGGCATGATGTTTTTTGTTAATAACTAAATGGAAATAGCAATTTCACATGGGCTAAATTTTTAATAGTTGCAAGAGAATAAATCCAAACGTTGATATTTTATTTCATACAGATTAAATTTTATATGAATAAATATTCTGTTAACCGATATCAAATTTATTCCACTTGAACTTTCATAAAATCTCTATCATTTGTAAACTAATGTAATAAATAAACAAACAAATACAAAAGGTTTTTCTTCAAAATATCTTTAAAATATATATATATATATTTTTTTTTTTTTTTTGATAATTCTCTGTATTATTCTTAAAATATTGTATTCTTTGACCAATAATACAATTAAAATAAATAAGTATTGTTTATACTAAATTCTCTGTAAATTCTTAAAATATTTTATTCTTTGACTAATAATACAATTAAAATAAATAAGTATTGTTTAGACTAAATTTATTTATAATTGGCTTATACATTTTTTTAATGAATTTTTACAATTAAGTTTCCTTGACAATTAAATGTAAATGTTGATTTTATCGACATTTCAGTTCACTTCGTTTTTTCCCGTGAAAAATAAACTATCGTCTTGTGTAATTATTAAGATTTATTTAATTAGTTATTGATATGGCAAGTGAAAAAAATATTTTTGGTCAAACAAATGAATCAAACTTACATAAGGNATCAAACAAATGAATCCAAATTACATAAGGTCATACGCAGAGTTGAAGAAATATGGAATCGTCGTTTCATGCATTCCAATTGTGTTTTAAATAATACAAATAAAGGACAAATATCAAAAAAGTCAACTAAAGATGGAAGAATTATCTGTAAACACTATTAAGATTAATAATTAAACTAACTATTTCGAATAGAGAAAAAGTTTTTTAATATAAAATATAAGAAACATTAATAATAAGTTCTCTTATTCATATATAACAATAATTCAGTCGCTTTACTTTAATTTAACTATTTTAATATTAAAAACCTTTTTCGAAATTGATTATTTAATTAATAATTATTAAAATTATATTCAATTTGCAGCAATTATTAGTAAAAATATTTATCCTATAAAAAATCCCATTATTCCAAAAAAACGCACGTATCGAAAAATGAATAAAAATGAAAAAATTATTCCAGAAAAATTGGTAACTATAATTATATTAATATATTTATTCGATTTAGCTATGTTATTGGGATTTGTCTGATTCAAAAATATAAAATAAACTATCAACCCCCTTAATATAAATGCGGTAACATAATGTTTAATATTATTCTGCTATTTTTTCTATTAGATTTTTATGGGAAATTCAATTTTTATCGAAGATAATAATATAATATTAAGTATAGTTTATTTGTTTATTTAAATATCTCTTTGGTTACCTAGAATATGATGCAGCAAAGAGAATTCGGAACACTTTTTCAGAATGAAAAATCTGAAAAATATAAAAATGAAATTTTAAATTCAACAGAAAAAAAATATATAGCAATTTCAAAAGACAATTCGCTATTAATATCAGCTGATTTGTTAGAAAAGGTATATTTTATTATGCTTTATTTCAATAAAAAGATTTTAGGGTATACCCTAAACCATTTTTTGGACTTAAAGCAGATTTCTTAAATAAATTTATCATATAATTAAATATATTTTTATGATCCGTTAAGAGTTTTCATAAGAAAAATTTGGAAAGCAAAAAATCCGAAATAAAAAAACAACTTTTTGAGATATCTTATAATACTACTGCTCGACCAAATTTAAAAAGAAATTCATCCGAAGAAGATGAAAAAGTCATAAAAAGTATACAACTTTTAAAATATAATTCATTTTTAAAAAATATGAAGTTTTGATTTTTGAAACAAATATGTAATATTTTTAAACATAAATTATTTTAGAGCCAAAAGTTAGTTCTAATCCTTTGACCTTAAATACGCCGAATGACGTAAATTTACTTGCTCTGTCCACTATTGAAGTAATAAAAGTACCAGAGAAAGAAAAAGGTAATTAGTTATTTAATCTATTTATTTTATGTAAAATTAAATAAAAAAAGATTATTTAATAAACATAATTAATTATAATAATAAGAGTTAAATTAATATAACCTCTGCAGAGGCGTGTCATTAAGGGGCTCCATGGACGTTTTAAACAAAAGTAATTATACCTGTTTAATTTCATATTTCAAAATCTTAAATAAACCTAAATAATAGTAAACTGTTCAACAAAGTCTTTTATTAATTTTATGAAAAATGTTTAAATATGGTTACACTTGCAGAAGTAATGCAAGATCAGAACACAAAATCTCTTGATCAGTATAATGCACCTTCATTTAAATCGCCCACATCTTGGTATACTTCAGACACAATTAATGAGTACATTAAAATGATAGTAAAACGGTCAGAAGGTGAAGTTTATGCAGTTGTCACTGATTTTATTGTAGCGTATCTTCGAGGAGGTTATCCAGCTGTAAGAAGATGGATAAAAAAAGATATTCACACAATAAAATTACTTTTTGTGCCCATGAATGTATATGAGAGTCATTGGATATTGACAGTGGTTAATATACCTGAAAAGACTGTGACATCATATGATAGTCTTAAGTCGTATAAGGGTCCTTATCCAATGGTATTAAAAAATTTCTTAATTGAATGGGAGATGGACAAAAAAGGAAAAGCTTCTACATGGACATTACAAATAGGCGAGACATCTCGCCAAACCAATGTACATGATTGTGGGCCATTTACTCTTGAGCTGGCAGAAAAAATGTCTCGAGGAGATACAACACCAATAAATGCAAATTTTATGCCTTTTATAAGATTAAGACATAAAAATGAAATTATTGCTGGCGAGCTATTTAATTAATATTTTAATGAATGAAATTTTATTTTTGTATTTTATATCAATTTTCTTAATATTCACTATAAATTGAAATTTTTATTTGTATACCACCAAACATTTTTTTACTTTTTCTATGTTTAATTGTTGTTTTGTTATTTTATTTTAATCTTATTTTTCTTTTTAACATTTCATTTAAAAAATTCAAATTTAATATAAATTTATCTTAACTGAAATAATTTAAAGTTCTTGTTATGTGAATATACAAATATTATAATATACAGTTATGGATACAATTAAGTTAAAAAGTCAGCCAATTATAAATTTTTAAATNTTTAAAAAGTCAACCAATTATAAATTTTTAAATTAACAAGCGTATCTACTATCTTAACAACTTAATTTTAATTTTACTAAATGACGATTCATAAAGAATTTCATAACTTTTGTTTATTTTTTAAATACTATTTTAATTATAAAAAATTCTTTTCTGTATTTTTTATGAATGCGGTATATTGAATAGGGGTAACTAAACTTATTTGTTTATAATTCTCTAAACTGATAAACTATAAAATAAATTTAAAAATGAACTACAAGTTCAGAATATTTCCGTTGTTATTATATTTTTGCTACGGGTATTTTTGTTATCTAAATGACCCAATGAAATCCAAATAATTTCTAGAAATCTCTGATAAAATGTAGATAAATAAATACATGTCGTCGAATCCTATCAAATTATCTTCAATTTTGTTATTTATTTAAAATACCATTTATTTTATAGAAAATAAATATAGTATATTATAAAAAAAGTTAATACCAATATAATAGGCATTTTTTTTAAGTCGAGGGGTGTCCTGACATGGAGGACACCCCCCCAAAATACGCCACTGCTTATTAAAACCATTTTTATAAATTTTACAATACAGCAATTGCTTATCACAGTAGCTTGTTTAATTTATAATATATAAATTAATACAAAATTATATATTATGGTAAATATTGTTATTAATTTTAGTTGTTATAGGTTATATTTGAACACTAACAAAATCTTGTAAATATTTAAAAGTACTAAAAAATCATTATTTGTTAACAAAATTATATCATTGATGAGAAGGTAATAATCATGGTGTGTATTTATTTTTATTTTTGTGTCTGCCGCCACTATTTATTAAGTTTAATATTGACAAATATTGTCAATCAATACATTAAAAAAAACGTACTTCATAACTTGTTCAAGACATTACCCTCAACAAACTGAACAAAATTCTTTCAACACCATTTCAAACTAAAAATATTTCAAACAAAGTACTATCATTGAAAACAGCAAATTTTGAGTTTTCCCAATTTAAAATAACTTGAAAAATAATTTTTTTGCAATTAAATCAATTACGATATTTTATAAGAAATATTATAGAAAAATTTCTTTCTATCGATAAACAATTTTGGAAAGTCCTATAAAAACATAAGTATAGATATAATTTAAAATAGAAAAATTATTATTAAACATATTTTTTTGACAATGTTTTGTTTAAGTGAAAATTTGTATTTTTTTTCGTTAAATTATTTTTTTAAGTTTTTATGTACTTTCCAAGCGTTTTATGATTGTGATGTTTTGTATCACTAAATCTCTGTGATTTCTATAAATAATTATATACAAGCATAAAATTTATGAATATAAAATTCATACAATTTACAATACAAGTTTTGTTATGTAATAATAAAACTTATTAGGATAAATATGTTTGCATTATCAAAAAACACATCATAGTAAAATTATAACCTTCTTAGCTTCGCATCGAGGCTAAAAAAGAAAAATATTACCCGTATTGTAACGAAAATAAAATAAAAACTTTGTATAGTGGTGATCCAACATATAAAACATTTTAGATTGAAAATTGACATCACTCACATTAAATGCTACAATGTGATAGTTTATAAAGAAAGATAAGAAAAAATTTGTTTATTGTAGACGATTACTTATGAAGACAAAGCGTTAGGACATTTCTCTTCTTTAATCGTAAAGTCATTTAAAAATATATCATTGGATATAGAATTTTAAATGTCAGACGACGTCACAGAACATTTACAAATATTGAAAGGGAAAGAAAATATTTATTGTGTGAGTTCAAACGTTCTAACTCCTCCTGAACGTAGGTTTTAAATTAGATTTATACAAAAGGCATACCAAAAAGAGCATATTTCCCATAGTATTATTGATATAAATTTTGATACATTAAGATTAGTGAATTTTAAAAATAATTACATCTGTTTTATAATACAGAAAAAACTTCTGAATATACCTTTTTATAGTTAATTTAAAAATATTTTTCTTAATTTTTACAATTGAAGAGGATTTTTTTCAATTTTTGAAGTTGATGAGTCCAACTAGATTAAATTCTAGTTCGTTTTGACGTATGAATCAAATCAGCTTATTGAGAGCTAAGTATAAAAAAAAATATTAAGGTAAAANAAGATTAAATAGATTAAGTAGATTAAATTCTAGTTCGTTTTGACGTATGAATCAAATCAGCTTATTGAGAGCTAAGTATAAAAAAAAATATTAAGGTAAAATCAATACCTTTTCAACTTTACATTGAAACTAAAAGTTAGTTGGGATTTGACAAACATAAAACCTACTTAAATTGAAATGTGTCAGTGATTTTTACGATAGTAAAATATTAATACATACTGGATGCCACGGCACACATCTTTTGACAATTAACTTTTGTTATGACAACTTATTTAGTTAGTGAATCAGACCAATAATTTTAAATAATAAACACGGTATTGATAATTTCAGAAATTTTTTACTATTTTAGAGAAGAAAAAAATGGGAGAAACAATTAGGTTTATAATAATTGAAAGCAGTGACGGTTTTCCCCCTAAAGCCGTCTTTAATCCTCCTTGGCTATAAGAGCCAATATCCCTTAGAATTTATATGTAATGTAATACACTAAAAAATTGTTTTCTTTTTTTGCTTACATTCCTGTAGAGAGAAAAATTTGTAGATAAAATACTTAAGCTGCACCTACTTGATAATATATTAGATACTTATATTTTTAATTACTTCTTTATGTTTAAACAATTTAGTATTTTTGGAGGTGTAAACATTATTGCGCATTTTTGGGGTACATTGTTGTGGTCAGTCATTTGAGAAATATTTGTTTTAAATTTTATTATTATTACTTGTATAATGTAATTTTTATTTGTGTATAATTTAAATGCAGCCATTTGGACTTTAAGCGTAATAAATATAATTATTATTATTAAGAACCAAAAAGAACGTGAACAACCTAAATCTGTCAAGTTCAATGACTATCTCTATGTTTTTCAAAATGTTAGGTATTATATTTGACTAATACATAACCATTTACTTATCAGGTTTGTGTTAAAATAAACGTTGAACATCAACTAACATGTGTAAAGAAAAAAATTGAGTATGTACGGAAAATTCGCACGATTCTAAGATAAAATATTTGTAGCAACGTAGTTAGCACTGACTTTGAGTCGGTTGTTGTCGGCCGCTGCCGTCGTCGGCGCAGTTCAATCGAACACTCCAATCGCGGGGTCAAGGGACGGCGCAGCGTCTGCCTTGCAGCCTGTTGTAAGCGCGTGGTCGCCTGGGCTACCGGTCCGTGTTGCCTCTTCAGCTTCGTTGCCGAACGCGCTGAAGGGTTTCCTATTAGTGTTTTCTCGTATTTTACATCCCTTTAGGAATCGAATATTTATTTTTACCACACAGATCATTTCCGCCAAGTACATATCTGATTTTGATAGTCGGTATATTTTTTTTTACATTTTTTGTGCATAACTGTCTTTTATTACTATCAATTCCTAGTCAAAATGTCGTCAACTACATCGGGCACATGGTCTTCATCTTCATCCTCTGGCCCAAGTAAGTACTTAATTATATTTAAGTACCATATTTTGATATTTTTGACAGTTACATATAAACAAACGGTTTATTGACTATAACTTCAATGTTTACACTTTTATATATTTAGAAAAAATTAGATGAATATATTATGATTTGATCAATTTTAAATAAATATATGAATCAGTGACGAAGCCAAGAAGGACTAAAGGGCTATCGTTCTTCACATATTTTTATCATCAGTATACGTTTTTGACGTTAATAAGAACATGTGATGAACCAAAAAATATAAGTGATAAACTAATAACACTTACGTATAAAAGCTGATTAATTCATTATTTAATAAAAAAAAATAAGTGCATTTATTTAGGACTGGTATGCCAGGCTTTGTTTATATTTTTATAATTCATTCTAAGACTAGTCATGTAGAATTTGATGAAATGTGGAATTGTTTTAATATAATCTTAACCACTTATGAAATATATTTGGCTTTTGAACGCTAAGTATTATTTTGTTACATTAATGAAATTTAAAGTTCATGCGCCTGCAAGACAATGTTTTGACAATTGATACTTGATTTTGTTGTTGTACAAATGTGTAACTTAGTTACCATGTACTATAAATTTTTATGTTTTCTTTAGTTTCAATTCAATTTGTAATCATAATTATTCGATTTAATGTTATATACATTATAAAACATGTTATTATAGAATAAGAAAAATTAAATATATTTTTTATTTTAGTTGTCGTAGTATCAAGTTATTATACTCACAAAAATTTACTATCATTGCTTATAATTAGAAGTTAAATAATTATAACCAATACATTTTATATTAAACTATTCATAACTATTCATTATAAAATTTACTTCGTAAATCTTGTGTTTTAAAAATAATTTTTTGGTGTTTTAACAATATCGAGTTATTTTTCTTCATTAATTCTAATAAAATATAACATTTTTTCTCAGAATAATAAAACACTAAATAACATCCCACGTATATTATGTTATATTAAGTCACGTTATAACAGTCAAGTAAATAAAAATTTACCACTCAAATTACATTAATAACTTTTCTTCTGATATTTATAATTAAAAAATTTAACCAATTTTTATAGAATATTAGTTAATTTATTAAAATTAAAATAAACTCAACTTTTTATATAAAACAAAAATAATATTTAACTAATATTAAGACTTGACGTGTTAAACATTTGATATGATTACATTCAACTCTTTTCTTTAAGAATAACAAGGCATAAGACAATTATTAATTTTCTGTATCGTTTTTTGGAATTTTTCGCAATTAATATAATTAAACATAAAGCTATAATTTACTAAATTCACATTTTACTAGGATATATTACTCATTCATTTTTAAAGTGTTTTAAATCAAATAAATTAATGGATATCATTAAAAATACAATTTTAGGAATAGAATAACAACTAATTTCCATTGGAGTTTCATTTATTTGTAATTTCAAATAATTCTTAAGCATTACATTTTTTTGTAAGTGAAACTTATCATTGATATTAAATCAATTTTACTAAAAGAAGTAATTACAACATACTTGTTGATAGCATTTTAGAAACGTAAATTAAATTTGGTGGCCATTATTGATTTGAATTTAATGTCTATACTATTAATTAAAAATTACGATTTTAACACAAAGGTTGATATTTTATTAGCTTAGCTCTTATAAAAAAATATTTTTGTAACTTTTGATTCTTTATAGACTTTTAAGTTGTTTAAAAAATGTTATGATATATTAATGAATTTTTCAAGATGAAATTTCTAAAAGAAAATGTTTAGTTAATTGACAATAGTATTTTCATGGATATTTTACCTTAAATTAATTTTTTATTACCTAAAATAATTCGTTCAAATATTTTTTTCAATCGCATCATTCCTTTTAATTTAATAATTTCTTTTATTTCATTGTTCTATTAAAAAATTGAATCAATAAAATTGTATTTACAATATATACTATTTGTAAAGGTTAGTGTATATTAAATGTATTTATTCGACAACGATACAGAAAATACCTTTTGTGTTACTGATTTTAAATCACTTAATTAGTTATTCTATCTCTCGGTATATTTTTTTTATAAATAACCATAAAAACGAGGTTTTTATTAAACTTTTATCGATGACTTTTTAATAAACAAAATAAATTCGTTTTGCAAAAAATACCCGTCATGAGTATCGTGTACGAGTTTTATCTTAGTTTTGCAGTTTGCCAATCTCATATTTTATTTTTTCTCTTGTTGTATTTATGCACGTGCATATACCATTGAAATGCACTCATCTAAAAAGTACCAATACCAGTTTATTGTGCAAGCCATATAACATAGATCGTTCATTGTTACTTTGTTTTTAAACAAAAACCGGATATAAATATAACACAGATTAAGCGCTTTTACAGTATCATTTCAAATAACAGTCCTGCGCAATTTTGTTGATTGATATGCAATCACCTAATGTGTGCACGGTCAATTAATTAGATTCGTGGACTGTAACTATTTGATGTCCATAATTGTTTCATTAAGTTATATTTATTAATGTGACTGTCTAATGGAATTATTTTTAACAATTAGAAATGGTCTTGTTTACTAACCAAATCTTTGCTTGTAAACATTTGTAAAACAGACGCGTATTTATAGGCATACATTTTTTTAATGCGATGTTATTATTTTGCTTTATCCGAGAAAAAGTCAATAGTTGAGAATCATTTTTCTCTGAACTTCAAACTTTAATGCTTTATCACGTAATAATGTCTACAATATACACCGTTAATTATACCTTTGCTAAAAAATACTCCAATGTATATTTCAGATAAACTTATTTTTTATTTGAATTTCGTAGTTAATTTATTTAACATTTTAATCTCGAAAGAAAAATAATTGATTATCATGTCATTTTACTTGTTTTTGTATTCAGAAAAACCATGTTATAAAAAATATTAAACTTGTAAAAGTAATTACAAAAAAAAAATACTTTTATATCATATTACACGCTATATTTTAGAAAATTCAATAATTGAATTATTGTCGTCAAGAAATTATTAAAGTATTATACAAAATAAAAGGCCTCTAAAGCATAAGGTTATATGGTTTAGGAAATTTAAAGTAATAGTTAGATTTTTGTCAGAGTATTTATTGTTAGGTAAATGTAGGCCGAGTTATTTAGGTGATTTTTCTGACTTCATTTATATTCAGGTACTTGGTTCGGTTTTTGACTTTTTGAATTTTTTTTTGTAAATGGTGGCTAGTTGTTCTGATTAAATTCAGTTCATACAACAGGTATACTTGTAGAAATCGTTTATTAGTATTTACTGTGACAGATTTAATGATTAAAATTCTGTAGTTTTTTTGTATACACAACGCAAATGATTTTTTTTTATTTGGTAAAAGCGGCCATGACGAATCATGAAGATCAGAAATGTAGACCATGCCAAATTTTTACGGCTGAATTTTGAATGGACATGGCGGCGTGTAACGAGTGAAAACACAATTAGCAAGAGAAAAATCATCGGATGATTTTCTTTCTAAAACTCCTATTCATTCAATGAATGCATGTACTTAGTACGCGAAATTCATTTGATTCTCCTCAACAGAAGAAAAATGTTTACAAAATGTGAAACGTCGACAAATTATTTATTATTTATGCTTCATTGATTAACGAAATTTTCAAGACATGATATTTATTAAAAAACGTTGTGTATCTAAACTTACAATCTTATATTAAATTAGTCTAATTCGAAATTTTAATCACTACATAAATAATATGATCAAATAAAAGCTCTTGCTATTGTTTAAAGTCATTTATCATGTAATCAATTTTTTTATTAGATAGTCTAAAATATATACACAATTTATATTCATTAAACAGATTTTATTTTGTTATTTGCGTTGACTGACTTTATTTTGTCAAATAACACTCGTAATTATAATACAGAATAATTTTACTTACCTAACGAAATAAAATATGATAAAATTGTTTAATTTATCGTTATTATCTTTAGCAAACATTGTACGGTATAATGTTCAACATTATATATATACAACTTTTTACCTTCAATCGAATGCATATACATTTTTTAATTTTTTGTTATTTATGTTTTATAAGCATGCAAATATTATATTAATTAATATTACCGAGAATATTTTATCGTATGTTACGACTATTATGGTCACTAGAAAAATACATAATGCATAGAGTATATGCAATTTAGTCATTTCTATCAGAATAAAATAACAATTTAATTTATTAAAATACTTCATTAACTGAAAAAAGTCAATCTTGTTTAAAAAATAATTGAAATGCTAGGTGCAATAACCAGATAAGTTCATTTTTTTTTTTTTTAATTTTTCAAGAAAGCAATTTTATAAAAAATTATTCATTAAAAACAATGTTAATATGTTTTTTCTAAAATAAATATCTCCACAAATAATAGAAATTTATAAAACAGAAAAATCATGTTTATTCAAAATTAAAAATAAATTATATTCTGAAAAAGTTGAACTTATCCGGTTGTTACACCAATCTCGTCAATTGTGAATTCTTAGTGTTCAATAATTATATAGACTTAGTTTTACATTTATAGGCAATTGAAATCAAATGAAATTTTATATTTTGGTAAAAGTTTTAATTAAAAAAGTTATAAGTCTGATGTGTTTTGTGCTTCAATTTATAGAGTTATTATAGTTTACTATTAGAGTTAAGTTTATTGATTTCTAATGCCAAATCGACGAAAACCAATTTATAACCATGTAGTTTTGGATGTTGAACTTTTTTTGATAATTTTAAAATGTATTTTTAGTTTTCAATACATAAGGATGACATGAATATAACATTTTAACTAATTACACAGTGATTTATGTGGAACATCTGACTATACCGCTTATAATATATGTTTTAAAGAACTGCAATTATACATTTCAATGTGTTTATTCGATTTAATACTTGTTAGTATCCGTATACATTTTACATGCATACAGTAAAAAATTGCTTGTAGAAGAA